CGTCTCTGCGTGCGTGTCGTCGCGTTGCACTGGAGGTTGTGTGGTGGATGCCCGACTGTGTGCTGGCCTTTGTTCGTCGGAGGTTGGCCTGCGTTGAGCTGCAGCCGTTTATTGTTATGAATGTTTGCATTATTTGGAGTACGCCGTCTGTGTTGTCCTTGTTTTTTTTTGTATCTTTTATGCCGCCTTACTAGTGCGCTGTTTTGGCGTTGGTTGGACATGTCTGAATCATGCAGTGAGGGGTGCGCTGTGGGCTGCAAGCATTGTTGGCCGTACATTCAGCACGTGAGGGGCTGCGGCGGTGTGTGTAGCGTAGCATTGTGCCTGACTGGGCAGTGCAGCATTTTACTGTACGCAGGGCACGCCGTGCTATTGTCTTTGGGCGTGGGAGAAGCGTGCCGTTGGCAGGACCATTTGCTGAGGGCTGCCGCGGGTGTTTTCCCATTGCCGCGCACACGCGAGATGACAAGCTGCATTTGGGCTTCAGCCTGTGCATCATGCACTGGACGTGGTTGTTTTTTCTCTTTTTTTTGTATTGTTTGCTCTGCTTTGCGGCAGCGTTGTTGGAAGTTTATGTGCATGCGTTTCTGGAATGCAGCAGTTGTGTTGGGCCTTGCTGCAATTCAGGTGTGCGCTGACGCATGCTTCTGGTCGTGTGTAGTCGCGGGGGTCTGGGTGAAATTCCCAGGCCCAAACTACGGTGCAGCGGGACGCGTGTGGTTTAACCTCGTTGTGCGTGTTTTTTTGCTGTAAACTGTGGCTGTAAAGGGCTTTTAGGAGGATTGTCCGAATGTAATGGCACCGCCGCCGCACTGGGCCCAGGGCGTTGGGAAATGGTTGCTGGGGCATAAGGAACTGGATGGAGCGACCGTAGTTTGTTTGCGCGTGACCGTTATTCATGGGTGCACGCGACTGAGTAATGTTGGGCCTAAGTGGATGCTAATATTTTAATCTTTGCGTTTGAGCGGAATTGTTGTGTCACGCGCTGGGCGTTGGTGGTGGGAGCCACTGTTGTGTGACTGTGCGTTTCTCCTTTCTTCCCTCACCTCCGCCTTGTTTCAGCGGCTGCGTGTGCGTTGCAGACCTTCTGCTTTTTGTTCCCTGCCGCTGTACGCTGCCTCCTTGCAGGGCTGCTGGCGAGGCGGCCGCGGTGGTTGTGCCGGCGTGCGCGTGCTTGCCGCCGCAGCCATCACGGCGAGTTGCTGTTTCCTCCGCCTCTCTTCCATTTTGTGTGTGTGTGTGTGCCCGTCGCGCGGCCCTTTCGCGGCGCAGCAGTCTGGTGTCTCTTAGTGTTGCGAGATGTACATACTGTTGCTGTTGTGCTGCCTGTGTGCGGCGCTGCTGCACGGCGAGGCGGCTGTTGTGCGGTACGAAATGGAGACTGTGCGTGCGGAGGTGGTGGACTTTCTTCCTGCCGATCACTGGGCGCAGTACGACGAGACCGCCTTCGAGCGTGGGCGTGGCTCTTTTGTTTCTCGCTACAACGACGCGCCGTACTTTGAGGCGCTGAACATCTCTTCGCCTTTCTTCAGCCGTGACTCTGTGAGGTGGCACGTGTCGTCGGACGGCTTTCTCGCGCCGACACCGTCGCCGCTGTGCGACTTTTTCTGCTTGGACTCGGCGCCGGACACGCTCTACGGGTACTACCAGTTTGGCAGCGCGATATACGACGGCGGCGGCGACTGGCCGATGATCGGGCTGTACGTGGCGGACCTGAACCCCTCGGCTGCACGGCTGTCGCCGAGTGTCCGGGTGCACGGCGTGGCCGGCGCCGATGGCGGCTCGGGGTACGAGCGGGTGACGGTGGAGTACCGCGATGTGCCGCTGACTGTGTGCGCGGCGGCAGTGGGGACGGAGACGCTGACGGCGCAGGTGGAGGTGTGGGCCAACGGCACCATCGTGATGCGGTACCGACGCATCCCCGCGTGCGGCAGCGCCTCGGTGGGCCTTGTGCTGTCGAAGCAGGAGCGCACCGTTGTGACTGACGTGCCGCGACCGGGCGGCATCGTGGCGATCCGGTACGAGCCGTCGTGGACGGGTGTGCTGCGTTTGTCCTCCGGGCCTGCACCAGGGCGGCGCTCCCGTGCGGGTGGTGCGCGGCGACGCGGAGGTGCGTGGCGAGGTCGCTCGCCGACAGCCTCTGCCCGCGCGGAAGCTTTTGGACGGTTTCGCCCTCCCCGTCGGTGAGCGGGGCGTTTTACACTGTCTTCGTAGAGCAGGGCGCCGGGCTCGTCGACCTCGCCGCGCTGCACGGGCGCGTGCGGGTGGTGCCGGCGGGTCAGTCCATGCAGCTGGAGATGGGGTTCGACTTCCCCTTTTACACGAGGAACCAGGCGTCGCACACGACGAGCACGACATACCTTTTGCCGCCGGGGCTGATTTCTGTCTTTTCCCCGACGCAGCAGTGCGGCCCCATTTGGAACGTGTGCCCCGACGGCAACTATACCTTTGCCGTCATGCCGTTCGTCACGGCGGGGCTGTGGGGGCCCGGGACGTCCGTCACGTACGTGCGCCTCCCTGAGCGCACCGGAGGGGGCGTGCTGTGCGAGCAGCCGCGGTGTCCCCCGGGGCTGGTGGTGGAGGTGGCCAACACGTTCCTCCTTTGCGTCGTTCGCGCGCTCCCCGACGTACCAGGTCTACCTGGACGCGAGCGGTGCGGTGGAGTTTCGCTACAGCTCGCCGGTAGCGGCGAGGATGGCGAGCGGCCCCGTGTTGGACTTCTTTGGGTTCCCACCGCCGTTTGTTGGCCTCTTCCGGTACCGCGTGGAGGATGCGGCCAGCGTCATTGTGCCGCCGTCGCTGCTTCGGAACGGCACGCGGATCCGCTTTGACCCCACCAGGAGGGGCAACGACTGTGGGCGCAATGGGATGTGGGACCCCACGAAAGCGCGGTGCGTGTGCGACGCCAGGTTCAGCGGCGACGCGTGCGAGCTGTGCTCGGCGGGGCACTACGGCCCGAGTTGTCTTCCGTGCCGCCGCTGTGTAAACAGGGGCGTGTGCGACGACGGCGTGAACGGGACAGGTGCCTGCCGGTGCCCCGAGCCGTTCAGCGGCGCGAACTGTGAGGTGCGGTGCGAGGGGCAGTTCGACTGCGGTCACTGCAACCGCGGTGGCGGGTACTGCGAGTGTGGGGTGTGCCGGTGCGATGTGGCGTCGGGATGGAGCGGGGCGGACTGCGACGTGTTTGGCGACCCCTGCTGGCGGCACTCGTTCGACGGTTGCAAGGTGTGCGGCAGGGACACGCGGAACGGTTGCGACTTCTGCTTCGACGGCATGTGCCACTCCGCCCGCTTCCGCGGCACCCTGAGCGGGTATGCGTGCTCGTACGCAGTGCCCTCCGACGACGCGGCTCGCTGCGTCCCGGTGGAGCAGGTGGGCGAGCGCCAGCTTGACGTGGGCTACATCGCGGTGGGGGGTCTGTGCATTGCCGCGGTTGTTCCTGCAGTGGCCCTGCTGGTGCTTGCACCCATCGCGTTGCGGGCGCGGGGTGTGCACGACATACTCCATGCGGGTGCCGCCGGCGGTGCACCCGACCACAGACGCGGCCGCCGTCGGCGCGAGGTGGTGCAGGCCGTCTTCGTGCAGCCGGCAGCGCTCAGGGGTGGACGCAGGCACGTGCTCGGCGTTCCGCTGAGGCAGGTGCCGCTGGCGAAGCTGTACGAGAGCCAGCGGTCCGCCCTTTCGTAGCAGAGGGAACGCCTCCGCTCTCTCTCCTCCCCTTCTCCCCCTTTCTTTATAGGTGCCGCGGGGTTGTGGAGGCAGGCACTCGCAATTGTTCTCCCTCTTTCCTTTTCTTGCTGTGTGTGTGTCTCCCTCTGCCGTGGTGTTGTCCACGTTTGCCCGGCTGGGCGACGCGTGTGCGGGG